GGGGGGGGGGGGGGGTGAGATTTGTCTGTACTTACAATTGTTAAATCATGTTCTCAATAGGTTATGTTTTGAATCCATTGTTGTATATATAAATTAGAAACAAGCCTAAACAAATTTAAAACGTTAAGATAATCTAGATTAATCTAGCCCCCAAGACTTTGGCCTAGTTGTAAAACCCAACTTGTGACTGTGGATTAAACGCTGTCATGAATTCGAACTTTATGTTAGCGGATAGAGTTATTCGGTATTTATTTTAGGGGGTGGTAACAGATACCTTGTGAAATTAATCGAGGAGTATGTATATGTTAATTGTTAAAAAAGCATAATAGATGAATATGTTAGTGATTAGGAAGGTGAAATCAGTCTTTAATATACATCAAATTAATTGCTAATCTGAATAAGAAGCTAAAATGAATAGGAAACTTGCACCTTAATCAAGAATTTAAGATAGTTTTTCAACTAGACTAGATTGACATTGTTTTTACTTCATAGCATTCTAATTAATTACAGCTTTTTAACGTCTTGGTCCTATAATTATTGTTTGTTTTACTGTCATGCTAAAACACTATATTTATTTACAAAGAAATACTAGAAAACAATCAAGAATAGTTCCTGAGTATTATTGATGTATTCTCTGCTTGAATTGAAATGACACACTCCTCATCAGCTCTAAAGTTTAATATTTGGTCAAATAGTATGTCTCGTATTGTTGTTATCCCATCTCCAAGGGAAGTAACAACAACACAACATTGATCCCATATTTGCCCATTGATTCAGCTCCTTGAAACTCGTGGACGGAGCTGTTGTTGCTGCCATTTTCCGGCGCCGGTGAGTGATTGAGCGCCAAGTTTACAAAGCAATGCTCTTGCGATTGTGGAACAAATCGAACCCTAAAAGCACGCAGAAGCAATGGAATTATTACAATTTTGATTGGTTTACCCGAACCCCCTTTGCCAAAATATTATACCATACATATAAGGTAAAATCTGATTTTTACCTCTATATATTATATTTTGAATCTCCTTGACACAGCCCAAAAATATAACTTGGTGATTAAGAGGGTTCAAAATCTAAAGCCTTTGTAAGATCATTGGTTCAAGTCCCACTAATTACAATTTTTTTAAACTTTTTTTGTTTTTAACCCCTCTACTAAAATCTTGCCTTCGCTACTTTTTGAAGGGCGACAGCACATTGGCAATGGGACTTGGGGAAGGGATGACATGAAAAGAAAAATTAGTGAAAAAAGAAGAGAAAATGAGTGAAAAAGAAAAGAAAAAGGAGGGAAAAAAAGTAAAATTAAGTGGTGCGACGTAGCAAAATTATAGGGAGAGTGCAAAACACTTATGCAACTGGTGATCTATGTCGAGGAGGTATTAATTTTATTTTGAACAGGAATAGGAGGGTAAAAATCACCCGTTTAGTTTAAGCGTTCAAATATATTTTATGGACAAATTTAAGGCGGTCTTTATGTATTTTTCCTTTAATTAATTTAATTTACCTATTGACCTATTGTATTTACCATCAATTGATATGGTGAATAGAAAGAATCTTTACACCCTTATCTAGAGATTTAGGTAGGAAATAATATATTTATTTTTGATTAAAAAAAAAACCTTTTTTGAGCTATAGGAATCTCAAGCAGTACGTTATAAAATGTCAATGGTTATAATATTCAAAACCTACCGTATTTCTGATGAATCGTTAATAGTTTCCAACTTTTCCCCTCTTTGTGATTCAACTTTTTAAATGATGATTAAATTATTTTTTTTGTAGAAATTAAGCCGTA